AAAGAAAAATACTTATTGGGACCAGTGGTTAGCGTAATGGCTATGTTGCTGGACTCCCATGTAGTCGACCGTGGTTTGAGTCCCAGAACTGGTGGCTTAAACTCACGCTGGGCACGTGTGCGTGTGTACCCAAGATCCTGAGAGAAGAATGGAGGAGAAGGGATTGCAGCGTGGCCCGCCCTCCCTGAGGGGGGATTTCTCGCTTTCTGTCTCTCTGTTTCTCTCTGTCTGTCTGGCGAGCGCATGTGCCCTATAACAAAAACCTCTAAAAAAAAGAAAAAAAGAAAAATACTTATTTTAAATTAGTGAAATATACTGATCTTAGTGAGAAATATGGATTTCAAAAATGGAAGAAGTCACCACATAAATATTTAAAACAGTAAAAACAACAACCATAAAAGTCACAATGCAAATAAACATTAGATCATATTTGAAAAATAAAACAAATTTTAATATCTTTAAAACATGGAAGTAATGCATATTAGTAGCAGCAACATTGATAATCCAGTGAAAGGAAGTTTTAAAAGATGACTATACCAATAAGCATGACAAATCATCTGACTGCATAAGCAAAGAAAGAAAACTAGAACAAAAATGCAGACTTTTTTTCTATCATTTCTTTTTACTTTGTTTTTAATAATTTTTCATAGCAGCAAAGGCCAAACAGGGGCTCACATTGTACAATCTGATATGGTCATGGAAACTGGTGTGGCTTATCTAGTGCAATCTGAAAATATTTATTAAAAATCATAAGTTGACATGCATCAAAGATTCAACATATAAAACTATGATTCATGTCCAAGTTTGATAAAGACAGAGAAAACAGATAGCAACCTCAAAGTTGAAAACACAGGGCTGCCCTCATGATATAGCAGTAATGCTCTGCTCAAGAGAACTTAGATTCCACATCTAGGATCTAGATTCTTCTAGGGAACGGAAGTTCAAATCCCTTGCCCAGTCTGCCTGAAACACGCTGGGCGCATGTGCAAATGCCCAGATTTATGGTTGGAGAATTGGAGGAAGGAGATCATGGTGTGACCAGACCATGTGGAGGATGCTCATTTCTCTCTCTCTCATTTTCACATGCACACACACATGCTTTATCACAAATAAAGAAAAAAAATTATTAAAAGATAAAGGTTGAAAATGGAGCATCGTTATAAAAATTCTTACATACACATGTATAGAGATTTTATTGAGTCGTTGGAACAGTCATGACACAATTTTGCACAGAAAAGAAGGAAAAATATGTCATGACTTTTCCAATGACCCAATATATGTCTTTTGTGTTTTAGATCGTTTATATTTATTTTATTATATATCCTTTTAATTGTGCTTTTAAAATATGTTTAATGTTATGGAAAAATGCTCACAATATTATTATAAGTAGAAAAAGGCAGAATGCAAAACTATGTGTCCCTGAGGTTCACACAAACAGACATACATACTCACACTAAAGAGAGACTAAAAGAAAATACCAAAAATCTAGAAGCACTTGCTGTAAATTGCACATTTTCACATATTTTATAAGTGTAGATTTTTCTTAGTCACAGACAGTAAATCAACATTTAAAAAAATTTTTTTGGAGAGGTTTTGCTACAGGGCATATGCACTTTCCAGAAAGACAGAGAGAGACGGAGAGACAGAAAGCAAGAAATCACTCCCCCAGGGGGGATGGCCATGCCGCAGTCCCTTCTCCTCCATTCACCTCTTGGGATCTTGGGCACGCACGCACACATGTCCAGTTTGAGTTTAAGTCACCAGGTTCAGGACTGCAGTCGACTACATGAGAGTCCAGCAACATAGCCATTACACCAACTGCTGGTCCCAATAAATCAACATTTTAAAACTATCTCAATATAATGGTTCTTTTTAGAAGTACAAACTGATATTCTAAAACCTCCTCCCAGTAGCTCTGATTCAGAGATGAAATGAGGGTTTTGACCTTTTACACTCCCTTTGGTGAAATGAATAATACAGTGTCTTCCATTGCAAAATCAACTGTAAGCTAGCATCCTAGAGTCATCCATTGAAACCCACCTCCCTTCTGTTCCCCATCGGTCATCAAATTCTGCTCTTGGTTTTTGTAGTCACCCACCTTGGTGCAGAAGCTGACTATTCTCCGCTTGGATTACAGTAAGTCCCTCTTTGTTTTAATCATTTGCCTTCTGTTCTACAACTCATCCTACTTTCCACTATCAGATGAATCATCCTGAAATTCTAATTGCATGAAGTCCTTTGTCTGCTGGAAATCTTCCACTGATTCTCGATTTTCTACCCTCTCATCTTAAATTCTCCCCTAAGGCCTCCTATTGGGAGTTTGATATCTGTTACTCCTGAGCAGATCATCTGGTTTCTCAGAGGTGTTCACAGCCGTCTTTGCCTGTTTTCATCCTATCACTCATTTCCTTGTTCGACTCCAGGATGTACCAATGTATAATATATACACTGTAATATACACACATCTATAAACTCAAATAACCACTTAACACGTTTCTCAGCTTCCTTCCAAGTGGCTCTTGTGTACCAAAGCCGTTCCTCCAAGAAAGCCAAAATGCTAAGGAGACCAGGAACCATGCTCTCCAGTTCACTGCTGCACCCAGCACAGACGAGAATTCCGTGCACCGAGGGCTGGGAAAGGGTCGCGACGTCCCATGCTGCAGCCTTGGGAGTTGGTCCAAGCTCAGCCACCTCCTACTGAGCCCCCCCAGCCATATCCTGGGCTATGCTCATTTCACATATTATCTTATTTAACTTGTTGAGCTTTTATCTCACCAGTTCTTGTTTCCTTGTCTGAATAACACAGACTGCCTCAAAAATGATCAAATATGAAAGCATTTTGACGTAAGGCTTTCTTTTTTCTTTTTTTCCCTAAGAGGTTTTTGCCATAGGGCACTGTGCTCGCGAGAGAAAGAGAGACAGAGACAGTTAAGAGGGAAAGTGAGAAATTACCCCCCAAAAGGGATGATTATGCTGCAATCCTGTCTCCTCCATTCTCCTCCTGGGATCTTGAGCCCGCACACACACACACACACACACAACTGGTGTGGTGTTCAAGCCACCAGGTTCGGGATTCAGACTGCAGTCAGCCATGTGGGAGTCCAGTGATGCAACCACCACGCCATCTGCTGGCCCCAGACAAAGTGAGACTTTCTATATGTTTAAGAATTGTCGGAACCAGCAGGTGGGATAGCAGTTAAGGCCCTGGAGTCCACAAGGTCGGCCATGGTTTGAATCCCAGACCTGGCAGCTTGAAAATCATTCCGGGTGTGTGTGTGTGTGTGTGTCCAAAATCCCAGAAGGAGAATAGAGGAGAAGGGGTGATTTCTCACATTCCTTTTCACTGTCTCTCTGGCAAGTGCACATGCCCTATGACAAACAAACAAATAGACAAAAAAACAAACAAAAACAAATAAATATAAATAATTTTTTTTTAAAAAAGAAAAGAAAAAAAGAAAATTTGGGGTATTTCAGGCAAAAGGATCAGATAGCATTCACGATCTTACCTGAGTGAGGCCACAGAGTGGCCCAGAAATCAGTCTACACTGCCCCTTTCAAAATTTTTTCTCATTTCTTCACAGAGCCACACTTTTCATTCTCCCCATGTTCCCAATTCTACTACTTCCATTTTTTCCTCCTCAAAAGATGACCTTACCTTGACTTCTAATTCCTAGGAAAGTTAAAAGTCCTCAGGTGAGTACCTCTCTTCCTTCTATGCCTAAAGCTGCGTCCCCATCAGCGGGCTGTATTTCCTCCCTTCCTCACCCTGATGTGGACACATCTGTACTACTCCACCTGCACCTTTCATTCCCTCTGCCGCCCACCTCTGTAACCTTCCTGGAGATGGGACTCAATCAGCAAACGTATCTCACCACGCTGCAGTGCTACCATCTTCAGTACTGACTCCCAGCCATCAGGATGTGAGCATGCTCAAGTCTCTAATATTAACAACTCACCCTTGACATACCACACACACACACACACACACACACACACACAGAGTTTTCCTCTTTCCCATTCTCTTGTAGAATCAGTCATCTCTTTCTTCCCTAAACAGTCTACAGAATTGTTTCCATTTTTTTTTTTTTTTAGTTTCCACTCATCCCTCAAAGCTCTCCAGTGGGTTTTCTGCCCCCACAACCTGACTGAACTGCTCGTACAATTTACCAAAGACTTCTGGTTGCAGGGAGTTAGGCAGTGAAAGAGAAGCAACCTAGCATCTCTACAAGGCTGACCCACGTAGAAGGTTCCAGGTTTACATCCAGAGGTGAGCGTGCCAGGAACGCGGATGCCCACGATCCACAATAGCTGAGGTTGAGAAGGGACTGCAGTGTCAAGACTCTACTGGGGGGGACCAGCAGGTGGCATGGTGGTTAAGGCACTGGACACTCCCACATGACTGACCACGGTTTGAGTCCGTGGACCTAGTGGTTTGCTTTCTCACTTTGTCTCTCTCTCTTTCTCTGGTCAAATTAAAATAAATGAATAGATAAAATTTAAAAAAAAAAAAGACTATTGGGGGCACCTCTCCCTCTCTCTCTACACATTTTGTTCATGAAAGAAATGAACTTAAAAAAAAAAAAAGACTTCTTTGTTATTAAATATCTTCAACTGACTTTCATAGCACTGCAAACTTCTTTGCTTCCCTCCTTTTCCCTTGATATTGGATGTCAAACTTCTATTTTATGTCAAACTTCTATTTTATGTCTGCCTCTCTTCTCCAGACATGCACACTCCACACACATGGCCTGCTAACACCCAAATCTCATTGTGTCATTCCTCCCTGCTCAGGACTCTGAACCTAACTGAATTCATTGAAATAACATAAAAGTTTCTTTAAGCAAAGGAATAAAGTCCCTTTGTGTTTTTAAAAAATATTAGTCATAAAAATGCACAAAACAGGCTCAGTGGAGAAGAACCTGGGGTCAAGAGGGCTAGGAGGTCTACACACAGCGGAAGGATACTGAGGCAGAGTGGCAAGCCGTATGCAGGCTCCTTACCTTGAACGGAGGACTGGAGTCACTGGGCCTTGCAGAAAAGTCAAAGGAGATGATGAGATCAACCCCTCTCTGAGGTCTCAGGATCAAGGGGTAGGGCAGGTTGAATGTGAGTCCGCTGTCCACTACGTGAATCTTTTTACTTTTGACATCCAGAGGCTCATATATTCGCTCAAATTCATCAGGATCTTAACAGAAAGAAAGACAAAACATGAATCAATTAAACGATCACTTGACATCATTTAGAATAGGAACAATACTGTTTTGTCAGTTTAAGAGAACGGATCTCATAGGGTGAGGCCCTCAGGCTTTGGAGACAGAGAGAGCTGGGCATGAGTCCAATTTGACAATTGTACGTCACCGTTTTTAAGCCTTCATTTCCTCATCTGTAATAGCAGGATAAAAAGAACTATCAAATGGGTTTGTGATGAGGCTTAGGGACAATGCCTGGAAAGTCCTTAGCTCAGGCTCTGGGATGGAGTCTAAGCTACAATTCCTTGACGAGTATTATCTCACATGACAGAGAGCTTTTCTCATCTTAAAACATTTCCACCTATGTTATCTTGTTTAATTCTTTAAAGCACATTAAAGGTCATCTAAAGTGTCCTAACTGGATGGCGACGGAATCAAAAAGGATCCCAGCTGCCTCTGTCAGTCGTGTGCACTTTCACTCTCAGGTGGGAGCCCCAGAAGAGAACCCAGTGACACATCGTGTCCCATGGCCACTCCAGGACAGTTCCAGGTGCTGAAGAAAACAGATGCAAAGTCTGTGCCAACAGAGCTTCCATTCCAGCACACTGCCAACAAGTCAACCATATCAACGAGACAGTTCAGACAGGGGTGAGCGCAATGAAGAAAACAATGAAGGACACTGTAACAAAGAGTACCTTCAGCTGCTTGGTCAGGAGAGACTCTCTTAGCAGCTAAGACAAGGGACCAGCAGTTGGTGTAATGGCTATGTCACTGGACTCCCATGTAGTCCACTGCAGTTCGCATCCCGGACCTGGTAGCTTAAACTCATGCTGGGTGTATGTGCATGTGTACCCAAGATCCCGAGAGGAGAATGGAGGAGAAGGGATTGCTGCATGGCCATTCCCCCTGGGGGGTGATTTCTCGCATTCTGTCTCTCTGTCTCTCTCTGTCTTTCTGGTGAGTACATGTGACCTATAGCAAAAAACCTTTCCCCCAAAATAAAAAAATTTAAAACTTAAGAAAAAAAAAAAAAGAAGTTAAGATAAGAACAATGATACAGAACTGACCTTGTACAGATCTGGGGAGCAGGATGGGGGGCGGGGGTGGCAAGTTTCCAGGGAGAGGGAAGCTAGAGCAAAGGCCCAAAGGCAGAATAAGGTGTGGTCTGTTTGAGGACCAGGGCAGACCCCAGCGTGGCTACAACAGGAGAACAAAGGAATGAAATGACAAAGGGTCTGAGAACAGGCAGCACCTAGTTACCCTAAATTTATGAAAAAATAACATGAATACCATGCTCCTCGACATATGTGCAGTGCTCTAGTTCACTTCCCCGGAAAAGCATGTGACCGGAATGTGACTGGCTTGAAGTAAGTGAACGAAACGCCACGCTCTTGGTTTTGAGCTGGTTTTGTCTGTGCTCTGGTCCACACACTCACTCCCACCTTTCTGTTAGGACAGGGGCTGGCAGAGCTCCACAGGGAGTCTGTCCCGGTAGAGCAGAGCGAAGGTGCCTGCACCAGAGGTGTCTCATGACCTCCAAGCTCTGGTAATAAATTCCAATGTTAAGGATTTTCTGAGTATGTAAACTAGAGGGTCAGAGCCACTTGTGTTTATAGAATCACCTATAAAGTTAGTTAATACCTATTTGATGGAATTGTGAGCATTACATTAAAATGGCATGACTGGGGCCAGCAGGAGGCGTGGTAGTTAAGATGCTGAACTCCCACACGGCCAATTGTGGTTCGAGTCCGGGACCCAGCAGCTTGAAAATCACGCTGGGTATGTGTACATGCATGCCCAAAGTCTCAGGAGGGGAGTGGAGGAGAAAGCGCTGTGGTGTGGGCATCCCTCCAGGGTGGGTGGGTGATTTCTCACTTTTTCTCTCTGTCTCTCTCTAACAAGTACACATACCCTATGGCAAAAACCTTGAAAAAAAAGGACACGATTAAAGTACGGAGGAAACTGCTCAGCACATAGTAGGAATACAGTATGTCATTTTCTCTGTATGTTTCTAAATAAGAACGATAATGATTAATCCTCTCACAGGATTTTAAAAATTTTTTTTAAGTTTACTTATCTCTTTAATGAGCGCAAAAGACAAAGACAAGCGCCGTCAACAGGGTCTCATGCCACAATCTCCCTCACTCCCATCCTTCTCAGTCAGCCGGGATCGCGGGCACATACCCCGGCATGTATGGGTCCAACAGGGAACCAAACCCGCGAACGCCATATGAATCCAGCTTTACTTGGCCAGCACGGTATTAGTGTGCCATTGAGCCAGTCTGTCTCACCATCAATTTAGGTCCAAAAGGAAGGCTAATTTTTAGACTCTGTCCAATGAAATATACAATCTTCATCATCGATAAAGCCAAAATTAAAATACCAATAAAGTCCTACTGTGGAGTTGTAAGCAGAAGGATGCCACTGCAGGGAGCATGGCTCTCATGGAGAACTGAGTTTAGTTCTTGCATGAGCCCAGGGTAGGCTGGATTCGGGTCTATGTTTATGACTCTTGCTAACTGGGAGGCTGAAGCAGGAGGATGATAGTTTGGTGAGATTCTGCCCTGTCAAAAATACCCACTTGTCTATATCACTCACTCTTCTCCCTTTCTGTTGTTTGTTAAAATAAGAACAAACAGAAACACAAAAAAAATCCACAACCTTAAAAAAACCCAGTAAAACAGCCATAACGTTTACTCACTGTTAACTAAAACAGGTAGTTTAAGTTCGACTTTGGTATAGTTACTTAAGAAACATTAATATCCTTCTAACTTACTATAGGTTATAGGGAGATTCAGGCATTTTCTCTTATCTTTTAAAATTTCTCATCTCCAAAATACTTAATAGCAAATGAATGTACAAATATTTACCAGTGACCCTTATGATTAAAGAGAGAAAGATTTTTATAGCTGAAACAATTTGAAATGCCCAGAATAGCAAAAGAGATAAGCCTGGAACAAATGGTCTTAAATGAAATTTGAAAAAGGTCATAAAAGCTATTTTTTTTAAAGACAAGAAGAAAGGCAAATGCCTAAATAATAAAGGCAGACCAAGTTGGGGGAACAAAAAAGGGAAAGTCTCACTGTGTCCAAAGTGAGGAGAGAATAGACATGTCATTATAAAAAGAATTATCAACAAGTTAATTCTTCTTATCAAGTATCTATAAATTGCAGGGACAATATATCAATATTTTGTGACCAGTAAGATATTTTACTTTAATCTATCACAGAGCCTGGAATCAAGATTGCAAAATTGAAATAATTACATTGGGGCCAGCAGGTGGCATGGTGGTTAAGGTGCTGGACTCTCAGATGGCTGATTGCAGTTCGACTCCAATACCCATCGGCTTGAGAATCATGACAGGCACAAGTGCATGTGTGCCCAAAATCCCAGGAGGAGAATGGAGGAGAAGGGATTGTGGAGTGTCCATCCTAGGAGGTGATTTCTCACTTTCCCTCTGACTTTCCTTCTCTGTCTTTCTTGGGCCAGCACATGTGTCCTAAGCCAAAAGCCTTAAAAAAAAAAATTGAAATAATTGTATATAAAAATTGAAATAATTAAATATCAGAGCCAATTTTAATATTTTTTTCTGTGAAATTTCTAATTTTAAAATTATGTATGTAAATTTTTTCAAAGTAAAGAATGATAAATCCTTGTCTTTAATATTAGTTTTAAAATATTTAAGAAGCTAGAAATGCATTATTTGTTTGTCTGACTTCTCCTAAGAGCCACTTCATTTGTCCTGTCCATTATGTATTAGAAATGTTACGTATATTTATTATCCTTATAACACATTTACAGAAAAGATAGCCATTTTGAAGATAAAGAAACTGAGGCCCAAGAAGGTAAAATAAATTGTCCAGTTTGGGGACCAGCCAGCGACATGGTGATTAAAGTGGCTGGATCCCACATCACCGACCTCACAGTTTGAGCCCCAGACCCAGGGACCTGAGAAACACCCCAGGCACGTGTGTGTGCATGGCCCAAATCCCAAAAGGAGGGAGAAATGGAAGAGAAGGCATTGCAGCATGCTCATGGCCATGGGGAGTACTTTCTCACTTTCTCTTGTTCTTTCTCTGGTGAGCACACACACCCTCTGGCAAAAATTCAAAAACAAAACAAAAGTGCCCAGTTCACACAATAGTGAGAGTTAAAATTCCAAATTCCAAATCAGAGCCACAAAACCTGAGCCCTCTGCACAATTTCGCACTATTACTTCGGAAAGTAGTATGGCCCAGGAACTAAAAGAACTTAAAAAGGACTAACTTGAAAAGCAATGACTAGGAGCCAGCAGATGAGGTAGTAGTTAAAGTACTGGACTACTACATAGTTGACAATGGTTCTAGTCCTGGACCTGGAGGCTTGAAATTCACTCTAGGTATGTGTGTGTGTGTGTGCCTGCCCAAAATCCCAAGAGGGGAATGGAGACAAAGGGATTGTGGTATGTCTCACTCTTGGTGAGTGACTTCTCACTTTCTCTTATTGTCTCTCTCTCTCTCCAGTGAATGCACCCTATGGCAAAAACTTAACCAAAAAAAAAATAATAATAATAAAAATAAAAATAAAATAAAGGAGCAATGACTATAGTATGTAGAGCCTATCTACACATACTCCATCAATTATCTATCCATTGCTAAAACTACATTACTGACATTTTATTACAATTAAACACAAAAATTTTAAAACATATTAATGGTAGCTTCGTTTCTTTTTCTTTTGAGAGAGAGATTTTTGCTATAGGGCATGTGTTCTTGCCAGAGAGACAGAGAGACATAAACCACCCCCCGAAGGGAGATGGCCACACCACAATCCCTTCTCCTCCATTCCTCTCTCAGGATTTTGGGCATGCATGCATATGTGCCCACATGAGTTTTAAGCTATCAAGTCTGGGACTCAAACCATGGTCCACTATGTGGGAGTCCAGTAATGTAACCATTTTGCCATCTGCTGGTCCCAATGATAGTTTTTATAATACAATAATTTTTTTCTTAATGTA